ACTGTGCACCTAACTTGGATCCAAGTTGAGCGTGTGGTGCGGGAGGTGAACATCACGTGAAGGATTGTGCCCAACTCTGGGCAGGAGCATTAACACCGGGGGTGCAGGTTATGAGCTCTCTATGCATCTCAAATCACTACTGAACATAAACATAAATCATAACTCACCTGACACTTACCTGTGCGTCTGCAGCACCAAACATATATACATATGCGACTAATAATGCATAAATAAATGGCAAACAATAAGCATGGCATATAAACGTATAAACGTTTCATTTCACTTTCTGGGAAAAGTATAAGTATATAGGTATATACGGAAAACCAAAAGCCCACTCACTGGTATGTAGAAGGGTCGTAACCCCCTTGCCTCGAGTGACCGCGCTTGTCCTCGGGATAGGTCTCACCTATATGCGAAACAACTATAAAAACGTTAATTTTAAAGCACATAACCAACATCACGAAATAACTTTTCATACAAAGCTCAAATGGGGTGTATGAATGCACCAACATGATCTACTCAAAATCAGGAACATCCCCATATTTTTAAAATAATTTTTCAACGCCGCACGCGGCACCACGCGCCGGCCACGCGCAGGCACGTGCCTAGCACACTGACGGCGTCAGTTAACGCCATCAGGAAGATTCCTTTAACTCTAACGGATTCCGTTAACGCCGTTAGGAATATGCCGTCCAAACTGACGGAATATTCCGTCATCTTCTCCGGTGAAGCTCAGGCGCCGGAAAATCGGGAAAACTTTAAAACCTTGTAACTTCTTCGTTTTTCAACCAAATTTCACAAAATTTGTACCAAAATAAAGCTTACAACAAGAGAAACAAATCCATACCACTTTCAAGCACTAAAACCCACGGAATCTCGACAAGAAAACACCACCAACTCCGGCCAAGCTTGTAACTCACGATCCCGACGTCCAAAACCTTCAAACGAACCACCCCGAGCCTCCTAAGGACCTTACCAAGCTTCCTACAAGCTTGAAATTCCCAAAAACACAAGAATTAACGTGTGCATGAACAATGACCAAATCGAGGTATCCCAAGTTCGACGTGAAAACGAAGGTATCCTTACCTGAAATGGGTATGGTTGAACTCCCAAGGACCTCACGAGCACGAATATGTAATTTGCTTCCTCGATCTGTGAAGGTTTGGATGGTTTTGGTTGTCGTCTGTACAAAGAGAATAGGAATGGGAGAGAGAGAGAGCTCGGGACAGCGCAGAGAAAAGGGTGAGGGGGTGTGGGAGAGTGTGTGTCGTCCAAAACCAGCCAAACAAAACCCAAAACAACCACACAACGAAACCAACATGCTAGGGGCAAAATCATCATTTCACCTCTACGGTTTGAAAATCCGGAACGGGCTATCACAGTTTTGAATTTTTGGGATGATTTTGTTTAGTGAGGTAACTAAAGCAGTGGTTCTTGAACTTTAGCTTAATCAAAGCTTTAGTTCCTAAACTAACAATCCGTGTGGTGATGTGAAGCAATGATTCATTTTGCTAACTATGTTAGAACTTCCATTCAAAATAAAGGGTTTAGAGGGACTGTTAAAATGATTATTGTTCCACATTATAGTAAGTTTAGAAATCAATACTCACTAGTTTTGAGATCGGGGATTATTGCTTCAATTTTCTCCTGTTGAGCGCCTTCATTGGTTCATTTAAGAAGTTTTTATTTTTTTATTAAGTGGAAATGATAATAGGAACTTAGAAGGAATATACTCAAGATCTTGTAGGAAAACATCTTGAACGATATTTGCAGAGTCCTCATCCCAAAATACATATTTTGAACGAGTACCTTTATGATGTCGTTCAGGATGTTAAGGCCACTCCGTTGCAATGGCGGGACACATGGGCAAATTCCACCTCCTGCACATGGAGCTACTCAATACTTCAGAATTAATTGTGGGACCTCTATATCTTCCTAATTAAACGTTTCCTAATTGATTCCAGCATATCCGGTAACTCCCAACATATGAGAAAGACGTTGATGGCACATGTACGCAAGTATTTATCAAATATGACAAAAAATTGACCCATAATTTTAAAAATATCAGTTTTAATAAAAAAAAAATTATCATATGTAGCCAAAAAGTCAGTTCAATCGATACATACCTTTTAGTATAAAAGCAATGCTTTGGTTATGAGTCTTTGATTGCAATTGATTTCATTCATATTTGGGTATTTTTACAGAAATAGAATAGTTTGATTTGTTTTGACATACATTTCATCATACCAGTAAAAAAAGTAAAATAAAATATGAAAAATTTCTTTCATCTGTGTTTTATCTCAGACTAAGGTGATATTTGGCTGTTGCAAACCTCTTACAACATTAGTCAGACGTTGAAGTGTCATTGAACTGGTTCAAACCATTATGAGTTTATGGGACTCATGGAGTTATGTAACAGAGGAAATCCTAATCTGGTGTATGACCTCTAGATCGGCTACACACACAAATCCCCCTTGTAATTTTGTATCACCAAGGCCCACTATCGCAGAAAAAGTGTGGGATGTCGTAAGTCATACGCAAGAATCTCTATCGCTTACAAGGTAAGACTTCTTTCTTTGTCCTAATTGTGTGAATATTGCATTATTCCAACTTGGAACCTGTTACTCTTGTTCCTTAAAGACTTAAAAAGTAAAAGTACCCCACCATTTAGACAACCATTTTTCTAATTGTTACATTCTTTTGCTAATTTTAAATGAATGTCTCACTCCATAACTTCAAGACCGTTCTTCAAATCAACGTAACACATTAATCAGGATCCTCTTATATATAAATAGTTGATTTTTCAAACTTGTTAAAATTTGATTAGTTCAACTTTCTCATCTTTGGAATTTTCTATGTAAGAATAATCCTCCAGATGCCAAAAACTCTTTTGGTATAGCCAACTGATACGACAATCTTCATTCCTAACTTATATTGTATGCGTGTTGACCGTGGGGTATCCCAGATCCATGAAGTTTCTTGATTCACCAAGCACCCACGCATGTCCAACTACATCCAAAACTATTGTATTTAGTTTACAATTCATATTGTTTCATCTGACTAGCATTCGAAGTAAAGTTCGGCCGAATAATTAGTTTTGCTTATGAATTAATTGGCTTTGTTAGGCAAGTTTTGGTATACCATACTAAATGCGAAGAGAAAAACTTGGGTGGGGATGATATGCTATACAGCAAGATAAGTGATACATATATATATAGTTTCCACGTAAAAAATATAGTGTTACAGAATTCAACCTCACAAAACATGTTACAGTAAAATAGATAAAACCAGTAGACCTTTTCAACAATGGCAGTGCAATGTATAGTCGTTAAGGCCTAAAGTCGTATAAATATGAAGTGAAATCTAACGATTGGTGTCTGAAAATGAGTTACAGAGGAGGAATAGAAAGATGGTTAATTATAACCACATTATGGTGTATTCAAACGAAACCAAGTGATCGCCCTTCGATGTACAAAGTCATCGTAATGCTTGGAAGAGATGTTGAATGTCTGCAATTGCTTCTCAGGCCTTCTCTGTGCCCACAAGAGGCGTCCGTGACTGTAGGTGATATTAAAGAAAATAAATCGAACCCAATGTGTTCTAACATCGAGCTAACATGTTCATCATCAACTAGGTGAATATCAAATTGTTAAGAAAGTGCAATAATGTTATAATAATTAAATTCTCACTTTAAAGTGATTTAATTAGTAAAGAACCGTCGTCTGTAAATGTTGTTAAAGTTTGGATGTGTGTGTATACAAAAAACTGAAAGAATGAAGAACAGTCACTGAAGAAGTTGAGAGAATGATGGATAGTTCTCCCTGCAAAATACACAGAGGGATATACTTCTATTTCTCTCTCTTGCACACGAAATCGTGCACTGCATAACACTTAGTTATGCAGCTGGATTCTCACCATTACACCAATGAGATCTCAGCCACACATCTAGCTAGATTCTAGGATTCAAATACATGTCACTAGACATCGACAATTACAATACATGTCACTACATACAAAGACATTACTACCAATGTAATCAGCTCATGACTTATACACTAACAAATGTTTATGCTTGAATTCATCTATGAACTACCGGTTGGTGGTATACATCTACATATTTACTCTAATTTAGCAATTGCTTCTAACTCTAGGAGGCGCCTTTTGGGGATGCCTGCCCATGATGTTTGTGTAGGACCTGCAGAAACAAAAGAATTAGGAGGCATCCTCAAGTTTTCTCCTCCTCCTAGCATCTGAACAACCGTTTTCATGGAAGGATGATCCACCGAGTACCACTGGATGCACCAGAGCCCTACAATTGCAAGTTGCTTTGGAATCTTACCATCCCTTTCTTCCCTGATATGGATTCGTAGGTCATCTCCTTCCTCTAGAAGGTTATAAATCCATTTTGGATAGAAATTTCATTGGTCGTGTCCTCTGTGGTTGAACCAATATTCTTCTTTCCTCCTATCATCTCAAGCAGCAGAATTCCAAAACTATAAACATCTGCCTTGTAAGACACATTTCCAAAATTCCTAGAAAACACTTCGAGTGCAATGTAGCCCATGGCCCCCATCGCTGTAGTCATTGACACTATGCTTTGATGCTTGGAACATAACTTGGCCAGACCAAAATCAGAGATTTTTGGTGTGAAGTTTTGGTCTAGCAAAATATTGTGGGGTTTGATATCGAAATGGAGGATTCGTAGATCACACAAATAATTGCTTTTGCAACACAAATTGCATTTATATAACACTAAACAAACCTATATTTTTCCTTTTTAATACTTGGTTTGATTACAGAATAACGCTTTTTGCTTGAGCCACAACAAACTCTACATCTTTCTCCATTCTAAAATTGAGGAGAGCTGCAATCAACCTTTGCCACTCGATTTCACGCTAGTTACAATAAAAACGATTAGATTTGAGCTCGGTTGGAAAGGTAATTCTAAAAAGTTAGGAGGGTAAATTTGTCCGTAAGTTTGGTTGCCCTCCTATACACGTGTTGGCCGACCATGGGATGGGTTGCATTCGATGGGGACGACGGCTGTGTGGAAAGTCGAGGAAGATGAAAAGTGCGTGGAAGGGAAAGCAGATGGTAACCCGACTGACTCGTGTTTCCGCTCTCCTCCCTCTCAGTTCCTCTTTCTCCTCTACTGAAACCATAATCTTCCTCTCCTCGGCGCGCTGCCATGTCTCTCGCCATGGAGCCCACAAACTAAGCAAGTAGTGACGGTCACAAGACTCAAACATGGCGGATGCGTACTGGAGGTATAATGACGGCTAGCAACCGCCGCCGTCGGCGATGAATATAGCCGTCGGAAAGCGTCCTCGCTCCGGTTACGGTATGTTGGATTCCTTGAATATCCCTTTTTTTTCCTCTTTCATTTTTGCGTTGGTTTGGGGTGGGATCTGGGTTTTCTCTACATTGCTTAAATTTTGCATTTTTTTTCTTTCTGGATTTCAATTAAGAATGGATAAATTTGGGAGTTTCTGATGACTTTGTTCCTCATCACCTGCCAATACCAGTGCCAGAGATGGATCTACGGCCACCACCGCCAACCACGCCGCTGGGAAGATCTTAGATTGAAAACTGGAACTTTGTACGAGGTTTCATGAATAGAGGAAGTGTGCTTGCTCACTCTCTGAGTGTTTCGTCGAGGGGTGAGATTTGTGGCTGAGATTTGTTTTATTGTAGTTGTAACTGAGATTTGTGGCTTTATCATTCTTACATTCATTGCTTTTTGTTGATGAATGTAATCTGATTTTGCAGTTCAAGGTTTTTCAACAAGAAAATTAAGCTGCAAATTAAATTGAGGTATGAATGAGTTTATCCAACTTTAATTATTTTGGTCTGCGTTTCCTTTTTTTTTTTTTTTTTTTTTTTTTTTTGAAATTAGATATTTTTGTAGACATTTTTCCTTAAAATTGAGTAAATTACTCGTACTTTTACACATGCATCAGCTATGGCTCAATGGTTTAAAAATTAAAACACCAGAAAGATGGTTATTCTAGCTTTCTAACCAGGTTTGTATCTATTTTTATTTTTATTTTTTGCAATGCTCCTCTGCACTACAAGGTCTCTCTATCTCTCTCTCTCTCTCTCTCTCTCCCTCCCCTCCATCTCAAAAGATTCAATTTTTGTTTCTGGGTCTTTGTTTTCTCATTCTTTAACTGGTGGGTTTTTGTTTTTTTTTTTTTTTTTTGTTATGTTGGTGGGTTTTTGTTTTTTTAATTGTTACATTGACCGGTTTTTGTTAATTTCTTTGTCTGTTTGCAAGAATGTGTAATTTTGTTAATGAGGTGGAGTTGCAATAAGAATTGCATTGCATCTAGTTGCAGTGTGTTTGTTTCCACCGTGTTATCAAAGGCTTTATGATACAAGGTGGAGACATTTCGGCTGGAAATGGCAGTGGGGGAGAGTCAATTTACGGGTTGAAGTTTGAAGATGAAAACTTTGACATAAAGCATGAGAGAAAAGGAATGTTGTCTATGGCTAATAAAGGCCTTGACACCATTGGCTCTCAGTTTTTCATTACCACCGCTTGGACTTCTCATCTGGATGGGAATTACGTTTGGGAAGGTGATCAAGGGCATGGGTGTGGTTCGTTCAGTTGAGAATGTGAACACGAAGGGCGGAGACTTGCCTATCCAAGAAGTTATTGTGGATTGTGGGCAGCTTCTTGAGGGAGCAGATGATGGGGTGTGTAACTTCTTCAAAGATGGTGAGGTTTATCCTGATTGGCCTGTTGATCTTGATACAAAACTAGAGAACATTTCTTGGTGGGTCACGACTGTGGACGCTATTAAGGCCATTGGAAATGAACCGTTCAAGGTAATGAGTTATTTCATTTAATATCACAACTTTGGTAATTATGTCGTACATTTCATTCACGAATGCCAATAGTATGCTTTTTAATCTTTATACAGAAGCAAGACTACAAGATGGCCCTCAGAAAGTATCGCAAGGTTTTGTGGTACGTGGATATATGCTGCGAGCTGGAAGAAATAGATGAAGGTAAACCAGTTGCTTTGCACTATAGAGTGTCCCTTGCTTTCTTTGATCATCTTATGACATTATCTTTGTGATTAAACAGAGACGAGCTCCTCTTTACTAATAGCTCAGTAAGAATTTTCATTTATCAAATTTGAAAGCACTGGATGTTAAATGAATTCTCTTGGAAACCCTCTTGAAATGAAAGCAAACTTATTGTCTGGATAAGTAAACCAATTTCAGTTAAGCTGTGTAAATGACAAGTTGTTGAACTATGGTTATTGCAGAAAGTGTACATTTATAAGTGGCAGTGATTGACATCGAAATTGTATGATAGTAACTTAATCATACTTAAATTAAGCCTGTTAGACAAAGTGAAAATTACTGTTGGTTCTGAGTTGCTATGAAGAATCCTTGAAATGAGTGAAACCAAAAAGACAACTATGAATATAGTAATCAGGCCTCGCTTTAATACTTCTCTGAAGGCTAACTTGAATATGTTCATGAGTATTCTGTATTCTTTTGTGGTACATTGATTTTAATGTCATCAACTAAAAAGAAATACATTTCCCTTTATCCACTTGATTGATAGGTGAGTTTTCTGTTCAGGCCTGCAGGTTGAAATTAGGAGACCTAGAAGGAGCATTGTTGGACACAGACTTTGCATTGCGTGATTGGGAAGCTAATGTGAAGGCTTTGTTTCGCCAAGGCCAGGTAATAATCTTTAATTGGCAAGAATTCATAGAGCCTTCTGGTTGCTGTTTATTACATTTTTTAATTAAAGTAGTTGTGTCCTTTTTTTTTTTGCATGGGATAGAAACTGACTCAAATGTGAGTAAGAAACATGAATCTCTAATCCTCTTCCTCTTTTCTGTGTCTTTTAATGTAGCTCCCAATTGATCATTTTCTGTGGTTTTTGTTTTCTGGGTTTTTTTTGGTTGTCTAGAAAATGCCGTAAATGAAGGAAAGTTTGAAGCATTTTTGTTTTATTTTGGGTTGTACGATTAAGTTCTCTGTATTTGTAGAGGATGTGTTTACTACTTCGTCTAAGCTAAACATTAAGAAGAGATTTAGTTGTCGAATGTTTGAACAACTCTTTATATGTAAAATAGCTTTGTCAACAACTACTATATATTATACAAATACTTATTTTAAATCTACGCACAATGCTTCAACACATTTAGTCCCTTATCCTAACACTAATTGTACTTAAAATTCATTTGCTATACCCACGGCAACGCGCGGGCTAAAACTGCTAGTAATTGACTAAAACAATAAATGGCAAGAGTATAGAATTTGTTTTCCCAGAAAATTGGGGGTAAAACTGGAAGAAGAGTGAGTCAAAGAAGGGTAATGAGAATGAAGAGAAGAACAGAAGCAATGAAGGGGATACTTTACAGCAGCAACGAGGACCCTGTGTGTGTCACGCATGGTCTCTTTGATAAAAGTAAACACATTCGAAGGATAATATGCAGATCAGTTTTTGGTTGTACAAAAAGGTGAGGTTTTTTTATAGAGAATGACGGTTTGGTCCTTTCACGGTTTCACTTGGTGAACATATGGGTGGGCACGGTTCGATTTCGTCTGGTTTAACATAAAAAACAAAAACCAGGCCAAAGAATTTGCATGGTTTGATTTGGTTTGGTCGATTTATGCAGGGTACATGCCGCAACATCTGAACTAATCAATACCTATTTAAGAGAGAGAGAGAGAGAGAGAGAGAGAGAGCTCTACTTTATATAAGACCCATTTTGAACATAAATATTAACTGATTCCACAACAATTGTAAAATGTTTATTAAATTAAACCAAATATATATTCTAAAATATTCAAACTAGACAGTCACTAGTTGAAACACTTGTCAAAGAGAATTTGCAAATAAAAAGAAACAAAAGCAAAAATATGTTAAATTTTATAATACTTCAACATGTCAATGCATTAAGATTAAAATCGGTCCTACAATTTTATTGTATCTAAAATTAAACTCAGGCTTTTGATGTCGTTTTTTCCTTGCTAAAAGATTCGGACATTCACTTTGTAGTAGTGGCATGTCGTTCATTAGAGCTGCTTTTCTTTTCATTGGCTGATGAGGAGCCCGTTTCCTTGTTGTTCTCTGTTTTACTACTCTTTGCTTTTTCACTGCTTCTTCTCTTAGGTCCATTGTCAAATGTATACAAGGACACAATTTCAGGAATTTCCCCTGGAATGTTGTAATTCGATTTCGACGCCATTGTTCTAGCAAAAATTTCCACTCCTTGGAATTACGATTGTAATCGACAAACTAATTGCGAAATCCTTAAAGGCGAAAAGGCAGTGATGTGGTTCTGGCTAAAAACCCTCCGATAGTCAAAGTAAACTCGTACAATTGAATTCGACTTAGAGCTCAAAGTATTTCGTGCCTTGCATTGTTCATGAAGGAGGTATTTATACTAGTAAGATGGACTCCTGACTCCTTGTTTAAGTAGGAGTATGTAAACTTACTCGTTTGCATTCCAGTATCAATGAGGACATTGAGGAGGAGGAAACAAGATAGATTATTTCCCTTCTTTTTTCATCTGCTTCCATTGATATCTTTCCCTCTAGCAGACACATTCTCTAGCATAGATATTAAAATTAAAATAAATTTCAAATTTACAATTAAGTTTACAAAAGTTGAAATATCGCAAGGTAAATTGTAAGTAAGCTGTTTACTTACCAAGAATAAGAGTTAGAACTATTGTGATTCTTTACTGATTTTCGTTAATTAAAACATGGGTATTGAAACTTTTCTTGTTTAGCACATATGGAAACGTAAAAAGTGTGAGTTCCTTGAAAAATTAGGGATGAGATAAACTATGGAACTAGTTGATCACATTCCCATTCTGTTTTTTTCCTAAAACTTGATTCACGACTTCTCCTATTCCAAGTAAGTAAACATGTCTAATCCTCCTTCTGATTCTTGCTTGTATTAAAATAAAAATAAAAAACTGGAAGCATGTTCTTTTCTCCAACTTCTCTCTGTTTTTCTTTTTGTGCTAAAAATTGCTTTACCTTGTGCGTAAAGGAAGCACGATAGGGTACCTGTGCAATCTAAATGCCAGTCTATGTATGTGTGACCCGACCCGTTAAGTAAGATTAAGATAAGAGCAGCGGTGTCATTGAGGAGGTAGCAAATCCATGATACTTCAGCTAGTGTTGTCAAATAAGAGCAGCGGTGGATTATGGAGATAGAAGTGAAGGTCATTGAGGAGGTAGCAAATCCATGATACTTGTTTGGGCTAGAGAATGGTATTCACTTTCGGTTGAAGACCAAGCAACAATTGGTTGCTTCTTCGCACTCCATGAAATAAGATTGTTTCAAAAGAATATGTAGAACCCAAATGTAGAAAGACTATCAATGGGACAACTAGCCTAGTTGGCATTCGGAAAAGCAGTGATATTTGTAGAGCCTTTGGTGAGAAGAAGTCCATGATCTGGAGTCCCCTTAAGATAACGGAGAATCCGCTTGAGGGTTGTGAAATGAGTTGTTTTGGGATCTGAAGATGTTGACAAACTTGATTAACGAAAAAGGTGATGTTAGGCCTTGTCCATGTAAGGTGTTGCAAAACACCATCCAATGATCTGTACATGATAGGGTCTTGAAGGAGCAAGTTTAGAAGCAGATGAAGCCGATGCACATGGTTTGGAATCTAGCATGTTGGCTTTTGTTAGGAGGTCCTGGACATACTTGGTTTGAACCAAGAAGAGCGTGTCTGCTGTTCGATGAGCTTGAATACCAAGAAAAAAGTGCAACGGACCAAGATTCTTCGTAGCAAATTGAGTATTGAGCTTGTTGATAAAAAATTCACAATGAGAAGAAGAGTTACCTGTAATCAGAATACCATCAGCATAAACAAGTATAAAAGTGAGTGAGTGATCAACCTTGACAAAGAGTGAAGGATCTGCTATAGAGGAACGAAATCCGAGAGCTACAAGACTACAATAGAGCTCCTCGTGCCAAGCTCGCGTCGCTTGTTTGAGACCATATATAGACTCGTGAAGCTTGCACACAAAATGAGGTCTGAGAGGATCTATAATTTTGAGGTTGAGCTACATACATATCTTCATGAAGTGTACCATGAAGGAAGGCATTGGAGACATCCAATTGAGTAATCAACCAATTGAACTGGAGAGCTAGAGATAAAATGAGTCAGATAGTTGTTGATTTAGCGACCGGAGTAAATG